ATCAGAGTTTGCAATGGATGTTCCTGACTCGGAGCTGACTTTTTTTCTTTTTTGAGCTTCATTTAAACTGCGCTGCTGATCCGCTATCCGGCCTTTTCTTTTCTTCTTCTTTTCTTTTTCCTCTGATCTTTTATGATGTGTTGTAAAAAAGATGTCAAATATGTTAAAAGGGCTGTTGGAGCATTGCACTGCACAGAAGAAATGAGAGCTGTGATCTCTAGCGGTCTCATCTAACCTTCTCCAGTCTATGACTCTTTTCTGAGGCAAATCCCAGTCTCTGACCATCTCCTGTTCTGTGTCTGCAGTCTCTGACCATATCCTGTACTGTGTCTGCAGTCTCTGACCATCTCCTGTACTGTGTCTGCAGTCTCTGACCATCTCCTGTACTGTGTCTGCAGTCTCTGACCATCTCCTGTACTGTGTCTGCAGTCTCTGACCATCTCCTGTACTGTGTCTGCAGCCTCTGACCATCTCCTGTAGTGTGTCTGCAGCCTCTGACCATCTCCTGTACTGTGTCTGCAGCCTCTGACCATCTCCTGTACTGTGTCTGCAGCCTCTGACCATCTCCTGTACTGTGCCTGCAGCCTCTGACCATCTCCTGTACTGTGTCTGCAGGCACTGACCATCTCCTGTAGTGTGTCTGCAGCCTCTGACCATCTTGCAGCCTCTGACCATCTCCTGTAGTATGTCTGCAGCCTCTGACCATCTCCTGTAGTATGTCTGCAGCCTCTGACCATCTCCTGTAGTATGTCTGCAGTCTCTGACCATCTCCCGTACCGTGTCTGCAGCCTCTGACCATCTCCTGTAGTATGTCTGCAGCCTCTGACCATCTCCTGTAGTATGCACTGACTAGTTCTGAGCTCTGGGTCGGTGTTCCAGCCTTTTATATATTTCTATATTGGTGTATTTATTATAATATATATTGTTTCTGGCGCCCAAACCACCATATTCCAGAGCAAGCACTTATGTGCAATTTCATCATTTTTAGAACACCCGGTCACATGACACGATGCCAATTCCCAGCATTTGTCTGTGTAATTGGTTGGGCGCGGTGATTTTGGTGAATAACATGTGACTGTCTGCTTCTCCTTTACACTTATATACGTTCAATGAACACAGTATAATGATGTCCTTGTACTGCAGACACATGTGCCTAATGTGACATACATCCCGTGTGCTGCTTTACTGTGTGTGTGTGTGTGTATACACTGCATTGCCAAAAGTATTGGGCCCCTCCCCCTATTTCTCCCCCAACATCAGTACCTCACCTCACAAATGGTCCAACATTCCCATAGACACACTCCTAAACCTTGTGGACGCCTTCCCAGAAGAGTTGAAGCTGTTATAGCTGCAAAGGGCGGAGCCAACCCAATACTGAACCCTACGGACTAAGACTGGGATGTGTGTGTGTGTGTCTACCTACAGATAAAGGAACTGCACTACAAGCAAAATTTGCCTTATTTTAGTCATTTATTCAACAAAACTATTTATAGCTCTAATGGTGTGCATGGAAAAAGTAAGTACACCCCTGGCATATGCATGCAAATTTCCTTCCATTGCAAGATGTGTGTGGGTTTCCTTGCATGATATTTCCATTTCAGAATCTTCCTAAATATTTTGAGGTCCCCTGCTAGACTCCTAGGCATCCACTACCCTTTGAGGGCCTTGGAGAGTACTATTGAGCTTGGCATGATGACACCACACACACCAATAGCCAAGATAACTCCAGACACTAAAGGGTCTATTTGCAAACAATTTGCAGAGTTGTTGGCTCTGGGAATCTCTCTCAACGTTTCTTTTCAGGTCAAATGTAATGTAATACCACATTATGGCCACTAGATGGAGCATAGGAAATACTTATTTCTTGTGCTCCTCGGCGGCTCCATCCAGTGGCCATAATGCTGTATTACATTACATTCCAGGCATGCATGGTTGCAGAGCCGTTTTGGATTTTACCATAGTGCCTAAACGTATGCACGGTTCCAGTGCCATTTTGCATCATGCCATAGTGCCTACTTAGGCGTGCATGGCTGTGATGCCATTTTACAGTATACCATCGCACCTACCCAGCATGCACAGTTGTATCGCCACATTAACCACTGATGGGAATGGTTTCAGCAGGACACCCATTATTCTCCTTTACCCAGTTATTGGCGTCCGTGGAGGGGATGCAAGGGTTGCGGTGATCGGCAGCCTTAGTGATGTGTAAGGGGGCGGGGCTGTATAGTAGGAATATAACTCTGCACTCGGAGCCAATGCACCGACACACACTTGAAGGGTTTCTGATTTGCATAGTTGCTCTGTCTTGGTGACCCCGAGAGATGAGAAGAGTAGAATGCTAGCCAGGCACTTGGCATTTTCAGAAGGAACTCGGCCAAGTTTTTCCCTCGGGAAAGGTTCAATGTAAAATCTGCTCCTGCAGCATGTCACCTGATCAGTCCTACGTCCTGAACTTTTGGGTTAGATCGGCTGATTTTTGTATAATGGAATTAGAATAAAACATGTGTGCCCCTCTGCACTGGCTTCCTGTATCTGGATAGAAGTCAGGTGGGCGGGCGTGTGGCCTTGGTCATGTTTTGTAGTTGCATTGCACAAGTCCTGGGATCCTATCACCGCCTCCCCCTCCAGCATTACATGTGCATAGAGCAGACCCGCCTTTGTACAGCTCCCTGGCATTGGCTTCATTCACAACTGAAATCTCTTCATCTTCTGTCTTCCAAGTCATTGGGAGATGACACCCCAGGAGCTGCAACATGTTGCTTCATATACAGCACATGCTTGCAGTGCAAGAAAACGCGTGTGGTAGGGATGCACCAATACCGTTTTTTCGGTATCGAGTTGCGATATTTTATTCTCGATATTTACCGAATACTGGAAGTCCCATTTAAGGAAGCCAGGCGACGTGTAAAGACTTGCCACCCGGCTTCCTGATCAGCAGGGAAGCCATCTCCGTGCTTCCTGCTTACCCTGTGACGAGGAGGCATGGAGCCGGCTTTCTGGCCAATCGGGGGGCGGGTAATGACTCACCGTCCTGCTTCCTCATTGGCCATCTTTCCGACCGATCAGGAAGCCAGGCGGAGAGTCATTACACGCTGCCCGGCTTCCTGATCGGCTGGCTCCATGCTCTCTCTTCAAGTGACGAGGCAGCGTGGAGCCGGCTTCCTGGCCAATCGGGAAGCAGGGCAACGTGTAATGACTCACCGCCCGGCTTCGGGCTAGGCATCGGAACATTTGGGCAATTACTCTGTATCAGCACTGATACCGATACTAGTATCGATGCATCCCTTATGTGTAGTCACCTACACCGAGAAGAACAGCTGTAGCCTGACTTCCCTGCAGCCTTTAGCTGAACCTAAACCATGTGACTTTGGCCGGCCAATGGTATTAAAGTGTAAGTAAACCCCAAAATCTATTCTTCAATGTAAATAGCAGAGTTGTCCGCCTGCTGTTTGCACTCCTTAAAGGAGAACTATGGGGTCAGGGCTTTTCCCCATAGTTCTCCTTAGGGTAACGGGAGGACACAAACTAGCATCCTCCCGTCACCCTAGGCTCAGTATACCGCAAGCTGTTGCTCGCGGTATACTGAGACGCTGAAGCGGATCCCGACAATTATGCCGGGATCCGCCCAGCTGCGTGACTGACAGCTAGCTCTGCCTATCTATCGTCCGTTCCACCAGTCAGCGCTGGCGGAGGGGGGAATCCAGCCCCTCCCCTCTCACGGCAGAGAGCTGTGACAGGATCGAGAGGGTTCGCTCACCTCCCGAACTATTGAGCCGACCTGTGACAGTCTCATTGTCACAGGTCGGCTAGAACTATGAGGTGAGTGAAAAGCACCCACCTCATAGATCTCCTTTAACACCTGGCCATTGGGATGCTTCTCAGGTCTATCAGATAGTTGGCCCCAGCAACCAATGAAGCTCACAAAGCAAGCTGACAACTCTGCTGCTAAGTGCGAGGCAGTAGCTTAGCGTTGTCACCCTGCAGCAGGAAGTGCTGTCACTGGCGGGATCTTTGTAACAGATTCACAAACAGAGATTTGCTGATGAAGGCTGTATACAGGGAGGGAGGGTGCAAGAGATGCTGAAAAATACATGTTTTTACATACACAAGGGACATATTTATAAAGCAGTAAAAGTGACTTTTTACTGAGCATTCACTGGTGGTGAATCACTGTTATTTAAAAGCCACAGGCCATAAAGATTCATCTGCGGTGAATGTTTATTAAAGGGTAGTTCCACTTTCTCACAAAATGTGAGAAAATGAACTTGCCATCACAAATCTGCCATCTCTCCGCACCGCCGCTGGTCATACCTTTTGGGTGGACTCGCCATCGCGCCCAGCCGGTCCATACACCACACTGCAGCCCTGCATAATAATATCTAGCAGAACTCTCATTGGTCAGCACGGTCACTTGACCATGCTGACCAATGAGAATCGCATCTTGCACAGTTGTATCGGCTCCTCGCCTGGGCTGGAACGGCTTCCTCGGATGCCACTGCACACTGTGAGCTTCTCACCATGTGCATTAGAAGCTGCAGCAAGTTGGAGACACCCCGCCTCATTTCCTGGAGGATGTCCAGCATCATGTAGCACTTTCCTCCCCAGCCTGACTGGCCCCGCCCCTTTCATTAATTAGATTTCAGTTCTTTCAATCAGGGAGGCTCCGCTTCACATGCGGGTGTTATGTAGAACGTTCTGTATGCAAATGCAGCCTGCCTAGGAAAACCCACTCCTCCAGACTGACCTCCACCCATCAATTCATTTTGATATTTGCATAACTCCTCCCAAGAGCCAGCCCACTGCTTGCATCATGGCTGAGGGCTCTTGAGAGGTGTGGTGAGGCAGGGTGCTGTGATGTGTCCAATTAGCATGTTAATAAGGGGAAGGCAAGGTTTACATCCGTGCTCTCCTCTCGTCTTTTACATCCGTGCTCTCCTCTTGTCTTTACATCCGTGCTCTCCTCTTGTCTTTACATCCGTGCTCTCCTCTTGTCTTTTCAGGGATTGCCGAGCACGGAGAGGAAGAGAATCATCAAGGACCATCCGCTGCCGTTCTCCGCCTTCCTCACAGACAGCTTTGGGCGTCAGCACAATTATCTGCGGATTTCATTGACTGAGAAGTGTAACCTCCGATGTGAGTTCCGGGGAACTGCAGAGCGCTGGCAGAGAACCTTCTATCCGGCTTCCCGATAAGGCCAATCAGGAAGCCGGGGTGGGTAATGATTCGCCGCCCGGCTTCCTGATTGGCCTGGAAGCCGGCCCCACGCTCCCTCGTCACCAAGTGCATCAACCTGGCTTTCTGGCCAATCAGGAAGCCGGGGAGCAGGTAAAGACTTGTCGCCCGGCCTCCTGATTGGTCGGGAAGCTGGCCAATCAGGAAGCTGGGTGGCGAGTCATTACACGCTGCCCGGATTCCTAATTGGCCGGGAAGCTGGCTCCATGCTCCCTAATCAAGTGACAAAGGAGCATGGAGCGGGCTTCCCAGCCAATCAGCGAGTCATTACCCGCCCCTCGGCTTCCTCATTGGCTGGGAAGCCAGCTCCCTGGTGACAGGGGAGCATGGAGTTGGCTTCTCGGGCCAATCAGGAGTCTGAGCAGCATGTAATGACTTGCTTCCGAGTCGCAGTACTAGTATCGGTATTGTTGCATCGCTAGTTATAACCCCGTCAGCGTTTTTTTTTTTTGCCATCTGTGTCCCATTGGGGAGATTTCACTTCCCGTCCAATAGACCCAACAGGAAGTGAGAGGAGATCCCTCCAAGCCAGAGAAATCTCTGATGGTCAGCAGAACGAATGTCCCTATTGGAAGATTTGCCATCTTATCCTGTTTTGGTGACAACCCAAAATTTTTGATCTTGTTTTTTCTTTCGCAGATAACGGTCAGCAGGACAAATAGAGAGGGTGAGGCCTGGTTCACACCCAGGCGTTTTACAGCGCGTTCCTACGCGCTATAAAACTCTCAACATGTGAAAACCAATGATTGCCTATGGGCATGGTTCCCACCTGGGCGTTTTACAGCACGTAGGAACGTGCTGCAAAACGCCCTACGCCCAAAGAAGTACAGGAGCTTCTTTGGGGCATATTTGCCGCGCGTATCCATTAGTATACAGCCGCATAGCCCTCGGAAACGTGTGTTTCGTGCCGTGCATTTTTACCGCGATTTGCGGTTAAAAAAAAAAGCGACAAACGCGCATATTCGGTACACCTAGGTGTGAACCCAGCCTAAATCTTCCTAACATGGACATTCTCTGTTTGTTTACAAACAGGGTTATTCACAAAGGGGTGAAGAGTTTGGAGAAGGCAGGAAAAGTGAACAATCTAGGACAACATAGCTGAACTGGAAAAATCCTCCAATTCAGCTCACTTTCCAAATCAACTATGTTGTCCTAGATTGTTCACTTCTCCGGCCTTCTCCAAACTCTTCCCACTTCTGTGAATAACCCTGATAGTGATTTGCAGGACAATGGTTCCTGTTTTTGGTGTTCCCACTGTCCGGGCGCTTTCTATTTGTTCTGTTATTTATGATGTTTGATTCTATGAAGTTTTTTGTTTTGTTTTAGATTTGTCATTAAATGGCGCAGTGACCCCCAATACAGAGGCCATCAGCCCATTATATTTCTTAACATACCGTATTTGCCGGCGTATAAGACGACCCCCTAATTTTTCAGTTAAAACATACCGTTTTTCCCGGGTTTTGGGCTATACTCATCGTATAAGACGAGTACAGCCCAAAATAATGTTGAAATGCACATTTGTCAGCCCGCTGGATGTGCGGTAATACTGTATGTACGGTAGCTTCGGCTACATACAGTATACCGCGCTAATGACCGCAGTGCACCCCATGATTTTAGACCACCCCACAGCATCATGTGTCATCTAGTGACTCCAGTGCACCCCAGAGCATCCTATGTCACCCCAGTGACTCCTGTAGTCGTTTAAGACGAGTACAGCCCAAAATAATGTTGAAATACACATTTGTCAGCCCGCTGGATGTGCGGTAATACTGTATGTACGGCAGCTTCGGCTACATACAGTATACCGCGCTAATGACCGCAGTGCACCCCATGATTTTAGACCACCCCACAGCATCATGTGTCATCTAGTGACTCCAGTGCACCCCAGAGCATCCTATGTCACCCCAGTGACTCCTGTGCACTCAACAGCATACTGTGTTCTCTAGTGACCCCCAGTGCACCCCGTTGTGTCCTGTGACTCCTGTGCACCCCAAAGTATCTTCTCATCTAGTGACCTCCCACTAATCTGTCAGCCCGCTGGATGTACGGTAGCTTCGGCTTCATACAGTATACCGCGCTGAGCCAATCACGGCGAGCAATGTTTTCTATTAATGAATACAAAGCCTGCTCGGATTGGCAGAGGTTGTGTACATCGCTCGCCGTGATTGGCTCAGCGCGGTATACTGTATGTAGCCGAAGCTACCGTACATCCAGTATTACCGCACATCCAGCGGGCTGACAGATTAGATTGCATACCCGGCGTATAAGACGACCCCTGATTTTCGGGGGATGTTTTTAAGTATAAAAAGTTGTCTTATAAGCCGGCAAATACGGTAATGGTTTGCAGGACAAGGGTTCCTGTTTTTGGCGTTCCCGCTGGCTGGTGCACTTTTTATTTCTTCTGTATTGTATTCTGTCATTTATGTTTTTTTGGTTCTCAGAAGCTGTTTGGTTTCTTTTTTTTTCTTTCTGTTTTGGGTTTGCTATTAAATGACACCGCGACACCCAATACAGGACCCATTAGCTCCTTATATTTGTTTACATGGCAATCTGCAGGACAATGGTTCCTGTTTTTGGCGTTCCCATTGGCAGTGCCGTGTATGATTTGTGACTGACGTCTTGGCAGTTGTGTGTACTATAGAGATTATTCTTGTCTTGCAGGTCAGTATTGTATGCCGGAAGAAGGAGTACCGCTGACCCCAAAGGGCGACCTTCTCAGCACTCAGGAGATCCTCACTCTGGCCAGGCTCTTCGTACAGGAAGGAGTGGACAAAATCCGCCTGACCGGTGGGGAGCCTCTCATCCGACCCGATGTGGTGGACATTATAGGTGAGGCTTTTATTTATTATGCAATCACAGGGATGACTCTTCTGTGGATTGTCCGACCTCTTTATCCTGACCTGTGACTAAAGCTGGGCAATTTCAGACAAGGATAGGACGGAAAAAATACAAAGTTACTTTCAATGAAAATCACATTCCCGAATGATCATTAGATCTACAGATATAGATAGCTGTTATGTGCCAATCCCGACTGGAAAGGTCAAGCTTGGTGCCCCCCCCCCCCCAACATCCGGGGACTCCCTGCTGGTTCAGTCGATCCATCCACCAAAACAGAGGCTCAGGAGGTGGGTCACCTTAAAGGGGTTCTAAACCCTCCCGTTTTTGTGCCTTTATCTACTGCTATCAAAAAAAACCCGCTAAAACAGCGATTTAAACTTTACCTTTTTTTCTTTGCGTGCTCCCGCCCGAGAAAGCGAAACTGTTCCGGCGGCCGCAAAGCCTCTTGGGGCGGGCGCATGCGCAGTTCGGATTCTCGGCCAGGAGACGAGCAGAGATGCAAGGTAAGTCTATGGACGCGTGCACCCACCTGCAGACACCGCGGGATCGGAGAGACAGAGCAGTCAGCGCTGGATAGGAGAGCCGCCGCACCGCTGGAGGGACAGATGAAAACATCGGGAAAGAAGAAGAAGATCGGAATAAGAGACATCATTTAAGGTAAGTGCTGACATTAACATGGGGGGGAGGGGAATTTTTTTTTTAGTTTAATATCACTTTAAGTTCTCATCTATGCACGCCTGTGCAGAGACCTGCTACCGGGAGGGACAGGTATGGTGTGTAATTGCATGCAGCCTCCTGTACATTCCAATGGGAGGAAGCGGCTACACGCGCTGTACAGATGTGCACGCCCATGTGAATGAGCCCTAAAAGTCAAGGTTCAGACATAACTTCAGCTACTAATATCTCTGGATCTACGGATTGCTTTGACATTGTTGCATCAGTTAATAAGATTCTTTCTCATTCTCCTAACCTCAGGAGATTTGGTTGGTCACCAGTTCCTTGGAGCCTTCAGGAAGTTCGGAGATCTTTCAGTTGATTCGAGCAATGTCATTATCTCCTTGCTGATGTTTGAAACAAATTTTTCCTCTCCAGAGCGCGTGGAAAATGTACAATTTCACATTCCACAGTCAGCAATTCTGATTACAAAGGTCAAAAGAGTTCAATATTCACTGTGTCATAGGTCCTTTGAACTGGATACGCTATGGAGATTAGAGAGGACATGTCTAGTTGTAGTCTAACTAGAAAGGGGTGTGGCTTCAGTCACATGATATTTAAAATATAAGCTCTTTTTAATAATTTACTTTTTTCAGCCTTTTTATACTGAAATCACAGGGTGCTGCTGTCAGCTGCGTATGTTCATTGCAGAGAATGGAGAAGCCTCAGATTGCATTGAACTGCGTTCCTCAACCTTTTCTCAGCCACAACACCCTTTAAAAGTAAACAAAATCTTGAGGTGCCCCAGTCTAAAATGTAAAAAATTATGTGGGGTCCCTCCAAAATCCATACTAGACCCTTATCACAGATAGGGTCTGGTATGAATTTTATGGGGGAACACCTGGCAAAAACACAATCACAGCCCCCCCTTTACACCAAGAGCCCCTTCCTTTCACATCAGAGTCCCCCTCTCACACAAGGAGACCCTCCTCAAATCAGGAGCATCCTCCTTTAACATCAGAGTCCCCTCTCTGACACTAGAGGACCCGCCTCAAATCAGAAACCTCCTCCTTTCATTTCAGAGTCCCCCCTCTCACACTAGAAGATCGTCCTTTCACATCAGAGTCCACCCCCCTCTCACACTGGGAGACCCACCTAAAATCAGAAGCCTCCACCTTTCACATCAGAGCGCCCCTCTCACACTGGGAGAGCCTCCAAAAATCAGAAGCCTCCCTCCTCCTTTCACATCAGAGTCCCCCCTCTGACACTAGAGGACCCTCCTCAAATCAGAAGCCCCCCTTCACATCAGAGTCCCTCCTTTCACATTAGAGGCATGAAGCTGTGTAATAATTTTGAGACACCCCTGAACAAGCCAATCAGCATGGAGCCGGCTTCTCTGATACTGGAACTTCCGGTCAGAGGGAGATTTCCCTTTTGCCGCGAGGCAACATGGAGCCGGCTTCCCTGCCAATCGGCATCGAGCTGGTCAAACAGCATGGATGGGAAGCCAGCTCCATGCTGTTTGGATGGCTCGATGCTGATTGCCTAGGAAGCCGGCTCCATGCTAGCAGAAGTACTGGTATCGGTACTCGCCGAACTATAAATATCGGTACTCGTACTCGATAGGGAAATACCGGTATTGATCCCTAAAAATAATAATAATTAATAATAATATAAAATGTATTCATAAAATAATAATAAAGATGTCATGCAGCTGTTTGAGCTGTGAGCTTTGTGTGTCTTTCTTGCTGGCCTTAGGGTGCAGTTAACAATAATGGCACTCAAGCACGACATATTTATTTATTTATTTTTTTTTTGGGGGGGGGGGGGAACATTTCACAAACGGCATGATTTTGCATGCAGCAAGTGTGAATGGGGTCTCATTCTCTAATTCCAGCATTCTCTAGAATTGTTACATTGTAGCGGAGTAACAATCCTGATGATGGATTTATTTCCTGTGATCCTCATCGCCATCTAGTGGCCATAATGTGTTCTTTCACCGTTCACTCTCTTCTTTGTGAATTAACCTATTTGTTACTACTTGCCGTGATATTTGAAGAACATTTGCTCAGTAGAGAAAATAGCCGAAGGACAACTCTCTCAGCTCGACTTCCCTAAACTTCCTGTCCAGTACAAGATCACAAGGGACAGAGCAGTCTACAGCAGCTGTCCATCTACTAGCTTGGAGAAGGGAAAATGAGTTGCCGGCTCTATGTTCACTTGCGGGACTTGCAACGCCAGGTTATCACCCGCTAGTAATTGAACAGACAGTGTGTGGACACTATAACAGGTCTTTATAACCTGGTAAAGTGGCGCAAAAGACATATGATCTTGGTGAGTGGGAACCCTTGGCACAGATGGGCTAACAAATCAGAGGGCAGGGGAGGAGTGCAGCACAACGTTGTAAGTTAAACGCTCCCAGGCACCCTGACAGAGAATGAGGGTAGGGATCCTTCGTCTAGTTGTGTTCGGTGGGTGCCTAATGATGGGGAATGTGTTTTAAAGAGGAGGTGCAGGATCTTGGCGATGGGAAATAGTATAAAGAGGGGCCAAAAGGGGTAAAGGAGAAGGAATAAGGGTCAGGTCTGATGCTGGGCCACGGCTCGTCCGGCATAGTAGGGTGCTCTTGTGCTCTGCACGTTTACCTCACGTAGAAGAGGAAAATTCCCACTCCTCGGGTTCCTTGTATTTGCAAGTTGAGGCTGAGTGAGTCCTCTTAATGTGGGAGGGGTTGTGACAGCCCCAGGGCACACAACATCTCTGTATGCGTCCGTGTCCTTAAATAAACTCCTCTAGAACATGTGCTCCATGCATGCTCTACTTTCTTGTCAGGGCACTGCAATGCAGCAGTGTGACTTGGTCCCATTTAAACCTATTCATTTTTTGGGGTACCTTCTGATGGCATTCGTTGACACCTGTTGAAAACCGGATGCCAGCAGATGCTAATGGATTCGGTGTGAATTGGGCCTCACTCAATTCTTCTTGGCAGAAAAACATGATCAACATGACAGCGGCACATGTGTGTGTGTTGGTACATACAGGGGTGACAACGCTGAGGCACTGCAGGCAGCATTGTCACCTTTAGAAAGGAAGTGGCATTTTCCAAGGACCGGCAGGATCAACAGAAAATATTAATGCATTTGCAATGTAAAATCAATCTCTCTCCCTCCCTCTCCCCTCTCTCCCTCCCTCCCTCCCTCCCTCCCT